GTGCACGCCGGAGATCTCCAAGCTTGCTCAGCAATGGGTGTTGAAATCGAGACTGAGGCAAGGGGTGTTGTCAGAGCAACATGGGGAGCCCAGTGCCTCCACCCTGAGCTGGGCTAGACCTGCAAGGAGGACGGCTGTCCCCCGTTCGGCTCGCCTCGTGAGCACGCAGGCTGGTAGTTGTGTCCTGGAAGGTGGAAGGGGGGTTGAAACCATCACCTGCAACTCTTGAACGAGCAAATGCTGCCAGGCCTGGTTGTCTGGGCCCCGGCGCAGGGCTGCAGCGTTGTGTTGCACAGAAAGTAAGTTCATCTCCACGTTGATGCCTCTGGCTGGTTTCTCTCCATCTGGTTTCTTGCCTCCACGCTACCCTTCACTACTTATTTTAAGTACTGACGTGATGCTGAATGAGCTGCAGGCGGGTCTGTGCCCTGGAGAGCTCAGGTTATGAAACGCGGTGGGCTTGCGGTCGGAAGCGGTGAGCTGGTGCAAATGCTGTGAACTGTAACTCAGGAAGGTATTTTAGCTGGCTTGCAGATCAGCTGAATTCTCCTGGAAGCTAAAAAGTGGGGACTGGTTTGCAGACCTTTGCAAATACACATTTAGTGTAAATAGTGCTGTGGGGCTCATAGTGTGCAAGCATGCATGGGGGAGGAAGCGCGTGTTGTCTGTCCCCTCCCGAGTCCCCTGTCTTCTCCATCCTGCCTTCCTAGATGATGTGTGTGCTCACTGCAAGCGCTTAAGTCTCCCTCTCTTTGTTCTCCCTCAGGCTGGAATGGGTGGAAATCATAGAGCCTCGAACGCGGGAGCGCATGTACGCCAACCTCATCACGGGGGAGTGCGTGTGGGACCCACCTGCTGGGGTCCGGATCAAGCGCACCAACGAGAACCAGTGGTGGGAGCTCTTCGACCCCAACACCTCCCGCTTCTACTACTACAATGCCACCACGCAGCGGACGGTGTGGCACCGGCCGCAGAACTGCGACATCATTCCTCTGGCCAAGCTGCAGACCCTGAAGCAGAACACGGAGTCGCCGCGAGCCTCCACGGAGAACAGCCCCGGGAGGAGCAGTAATGTCAGCAGGGAGGGCAGCACCAGCTCCTCCTTGGAGCAGGAGCTGGAGGGCAGCGAGAAGGCGCAGGACCAGACAAGGTCGAGCCGTCAGTCAGCTCAGTACGCGGTGGTGAAAGAAGAAACAGAAAGGTAAAAGCAGAGCTGGCTCTGCCAGCACATCACAGGCGTGGCCACATGCAACTAAGCTCACTGATGGAGTAGCTGCAATAAATTGCACAATGCGAGTGCAGATGCTCTAGTGCACTTCCACTATTATGGAAGAGCAGAAACTGGAGCTCTTGTTCTGCAGCTCTTTATCTTTGTCAAGACAAGCTATTTTAGGGATGGCTCCTCTAGCTAGATTATGAATGGGGTCTCTGCACGAGGTCAGAGAGAGTGGGATTGCTTATCTGTAAAGCAATCACCAACAGGAGGAAGAAGTATAAGCACCTTTGAAAGGTGTTCCTCCTTGTTAGGGGCAACTTAGATGCTTTCCGAAAAGATACATGGGACAAGTAATTTCTTGGCCTCTGAAAATACCTTTTTTTTTTTTTAAGAAAGTGGCACAGTTTTAAATAATTTCCTTGGATGAAATTCCTCCTTGAATCTCCCTAACAAGGCAGAAGGATTCCTACCGCAACCAAGGGTTGTTCCATTGGTCTGTGGAGCTTCTAGGACAAGCTTCAAACTGAACAGTGAGTCAGTGCCCAGTTTCTCAGCTCCAGTTGTATAGGGATGCGAACGATGTACTGATACATCTGCGTTGCTGCTCTGTGGACTTCGTTTCATGCTGTTATGGCTTGCAAGCTGCAAATCAGGTGGTTCATTACTTAATATATTTTTATTTTCTTAAACAATACTTCTTAAAATGTTTATAAACCTTTTTTCTGTGCATCGTTCTGAACAGTGTCGCTTGCAAATGATCAGCAGATAAATTTCTGCTTGTGACTAGCTCTGCTTCCCGGCAGCTCCCATACAGAAACTGCGGCTGTGTGATCTCATTGCCATGCAGGACAGGGAACAGGAACACCCAGCTCAGCGAGTGCTTTCATGTGGGCCCTCAGACAGATCTGTGCCTGTGTGCGTGTTTATCCCATCTGTGCAATGAGGGTAGGCTTAATCTGATAGTAGAGTTCTTGGAGATCCTCTGATCAAAACGCTGAGTGTGTGGACAGCGTACTTCCTTGCAAGGCAGGCGCTGTTTGGAGAGGCAGCTGGTTTTGATGTTCAACCAGACAGATGCTGGGTGAGCGGCCTGGGGTTGCTGTCAGTCTTCCACAGCAGACAGACCCCACTACCCGCAGGGGTCGGATCCAGGGGGGATCTGTTCAGCGTGTGCTGCCGGCTATTGCACAGGGGGCCCCGTCTTTGCTTGCCCATCCCCAACAGCGCCGAGCCTACCCTTCCCTGCCTGTCACCCTTCCCTCTCGCTTGTGGCCTCAAGTAACATCATCCACTGGAGACCACTTGTGCAGGCTGCATCTGGCAACCCATAAATTCTCGACTGCTGTTTCTCTGGGGAATATACAGATTGCCTCCTGAATGAGAACATTTTTTCAAACTAAACTGCCAACTTCCAGAATAGCCATAATTCTTCCCCCACTCTGCACTTGTTTCTTTTAATTATAACCGAGAACAAGAATATGTTTTTCCCTCCTGCTTTGTGCTGGGCACTGCACAGATATGGCAGAAGAATCCCTTTCTTGAAGAGTTTCAGTATTAAGACCCAGTGGACTCCAAACTCAGATCATACAGAGTGTAGCTGCTGGGTTTTGGGTTGTCCAGTCAATATTTGCCTGCTTCCTTTTCATCACACTCAAACTGCTTGTCCTCTCTGGAGTGGCCCTTTGGCCACTCTGGCTTGCCCGTATGCCCTGTATGTGAGCCGAGATCTCCTGTCCCTCTCCTCTCCTCCCTGTACCAAATACTTTCCCTGTGCGGATCCGTAATGGCACTTCACTGCCCTAGACCTCTCCAGCTCATCCAGATAATTGCCCAATTCCTTATTCTTCTGTCCAGCCAAGCATTGCTGAGCTGTGAGCATTTTATTGCCTTCTGATATATTCTTGCTTCCCTCTCAGCCTTTGCCGTTTGCAGCCTTACTCCATGTGCCGTGACCTGGCCCGTGTCCTTCTTGCTAGGTGTGTGGATGGTGCCAAAAAAATGAAGTGCTGCCTATACGGTGCCCTTCGGCTGTTCCTTGTGCTCGTTCTCCTCGGAGCTGTGGGAGAGTGAGTCCCATCTCCTGGTGCTTGAATTTGGATCAGCAGGGAAAGTTGTCCAGGGCATAGGGAATGGGAGCCACTGCTGCTGGTGCCTGGAGTTTGGGGCGTGGACTGCAGTTGCTGGGGTTTGTTCCTGATATCGCAGTTGCTGTTCCATGACATATCTCCCCCGGGAGAGCGCTCAGTCTTTCAGCTGGCTGGCCGGGCTCAGGGACTCTGTTTCTCTCACAAGTGTTTTCTCCTGCAGCTACCATTTTTGCTGCTACGAGCGCCGAGGAGGTGCTTTCCACCTCGCTCTGTTGAGGAGGGCTGATAACTCATCTCACAGCTGGCAAATAGAAACAGAGCAAGCAAGCTGTTTGGCACATTGGAGCGGAGAGGCCTGGTTCCCAGCCCTTGAACTGGAGTGTTCCCAATTAACCATGGGAACATTGTTTTCTCTCTCTCACTCTCTCTCTCTTTTTTTAACTTCCCATCACTAAGTCTCCTCTGGGTCTCACAGCAGCTTCGTGAGGAAGCCCGATGTCGGTGAAAGAGTAGTCCTTGCTGCCCACGTGGCTGGTAGCACCGAGGATGCCCCGCTACACCTGCTCTGGAGCTCCATGCAGCTCAGTCCTGCTCCACCCAGGCTGCTTTTTCCATGAAATTGTGCCTAGTTCCTTTCCTGGCTGTGTAATTGCAGCTCCTGCAAAGCTTTGGGTGAAGTGGGAGCTGGTTCCTGCAGGAGCCTCAAGGGTTAACTAGGACTGAATGGATGGGTTTTGATCTTCATGCAGATGGTGCTGTGCTTTGCTGCAAGAACATGTGCGTGCTCAGTGGCTTCCTGGAAGAAGAGGGAAGATCCATTTTCTATTTTAGCTTTAGTACCCAGGATTTGCCCCTTCTCTCTTTGGATTTTCTGCCAGAAATCTTTTGGGCTGCAGAAGCTAGCTTGGACATTGCATTTCGCTAACCCTTTGTCCTTCACCCACACGTTCTCTTTCCTTTTTCAGTGCTTTGGATATCCAGATGTGTTACGGGACACAAAGCTTCTGGGAGGGGTGTGAGGAGTGAGGACCACACCGTGACTCCCACATAGAAAGGCTTAACCTGTAGAAATCTTATGCTGGCTTTGCTGACAGATGAGAACAAGCAAACTGTGGGGTGGGTTCGCTCCTGGCTGCCTGCCACCATTCGTGACACGTTTGGGAATGTTCCCAGCAGCTGGAGTGCTCTCCACAGCACACACACACCCAGGCTCCAGAGCTATGGCTAGGTGGTCTGTCTTCATCCCTGCAGCGTCCTCTCAAGGCTGTGGGACTTGGAGGGTGACATTCCTTGGGTATGTGAACTGATCAGGGCTCTGGAATAGAGGCCCGTGATTGCTGGGTTTTCAGTGCATCCCCCTCGCTATAGAAGTCTTGGTGCTCTTGACCAAATGGCTGAAGATGGGCTGTAAGCATTACTATGTCCTCTGGATTCACGGGAGCTCTGCTGGGCTTTGTAGGGCTGGAAGGCTGCATGTCCTTTCCGCCTGTGGCAATTAGTCTTTGCCTCGTTGGGAGACAGTGTGAAGCTGCTACGCCATCCGGCATTGAAGAGAGCCATTGTGCTGTAGGTAAGAGCTCCCGTGGTTGTACACCTGTACCAATTACTCAGTTGAAGAAACCCCAGTGTTCTAGCTTGGAAGGGCAGGATGGGAACTAAGTTGCCCCTAAGAGGTTACCTGTGAGATGGGGAACTGCTCTGCCCATCACTATGATGGGAACTTGAGGGTGTCCTGCCTAGGGAGCATGAGCAGGGTTCTCGCTGACAGCACCCCAAGCTGCTGTGTCTGCTTCCGAGATGTTTGGGTCACTGGCCTAGCCGGGTCCTTCAACTTCTCCAAGGTCACAGCAAGGAGGCTTCTCCCCTAATTTTCTTTTTCAGTAAAATCCTGGTGGCCTGTTAATAGAGCCCATGCTTCAAGGCTACATTTTCATACAGTGCTGGGACAACTGCGGATGAGCCATGGGATAACAGATGTGTGGGAGCAGGGCCGTGGCATGCCGTGATGTGGCCAGGACTTACCTGCTAGCTTACAAAAAAAAAAAACCCCAAACCCCAGATGCCACTAGAGGGAGCAAATATTCTTGTTCAGTGGACAATTTCCACCTGCCTCCTTGGAGGTGACACAAGAAACTCGTCCTGTCCCTTCAGCTCAGCAAAAGCCATGTCAACACGCCACCCTGGCAGAAGTGCACTAATGCCACTTGTCTGGAAAACGCATTCCCTTGCCGACCTCCCCTCCTGAGGAAGTACACTGGGCATGCTGAAAAACTTTGCTGGAACCTCAGGCGTCACTGGGAACTGTTAAGGGACAGATTTCCTGAACCAGAGGTAACCCTGTGAGAGGGCAAGGATGCTACCTACCGTGGTGCAATGGTGGAGAACACGGTTTGCTCCTGCTGCCGCACATCTCCCCAGCTCCTGCTGTGGCACCAGGGAGCTCTGGTGGAGGAGCTGCCTTGTTTCCACCAGAACTTGTGTAGTTGTCGCTGCCGCTGACTCAGGTGCTGTGGATTGAACCTGGCAGATGCAGCATTTCTAGGAGGATTTGGGGGGATGTGAAGATACAGGAACATTGTTGTAGCGCACACACAAGTGTAACGCAGGCAGGAATCAACAGCAAAATGGTTAAATACTCTCGGCACCACTTCAGTGGCTGGGAGAAGAGGCGTTTGAAAGTGCAGAGCACACAGAGTCGGGCTGAGGTTTTTAGGTGCTCCACACTGCTGCCTCCAGCTGTTGGATGTGCCGTACCGGGGTATCTGCTCCAGCAGCCGGGTATCGCTTCGGGGATTGCTGACCGCTCCATCTGAGGCATCATGGAAGTGGGGGTGCAGCAGAGAGTGCTTCTGCATCGGAAACTCAGATTTCTGAGCAACGAGCGCTGGGGCCCATCTG